ATCACATGATATGCAAATTAACACTCATGAATATTAATAGCAACTCAAACTTCACAATGGACACAAATCTCTCACAAACACTGCACTAGTTTTTATGTTACCCATTTTCAATTTAATTTTTTTTATTTTCAAAAATATTTTTAAGCGAGTTGCATGTTGTATGTACTTACATGTAACATGGGAGAGTGGATTGAAGTTAGAACAAATGTATGTTGAACCTTTTCACCACCAGACTTTCCCGTACATATTTGTCTGCACTTTTTTCTTGTATTCTTCAATATTTCTGGAAATGAACCCTAATTTTGGAGCCAACAGCCAAAATTTGGGTCAATTTACAGTTTTTACTCAAAAAATTTGGCTATTTTTGTCCCAATATTCCGAAAGAAAGAGCAGACTATAAGGAGGACTATTTTTCAATTTGTGATGAAAAGAGTGGTGAAAAGGTTAAACATTTAGCAAGTATCTTAACCTGTTTAACAAACTAGAAATTATTTGTAGAAAGTGCACTTTATTGGAATAATGTCAAAACCGTAGATCCAATAAAGCCTATTACTGCTTGCTAAATGCACGAGTCTTTGAAAATGATCAGTAAATGTGGGTGATGAATATGATTAACACATACAATATATTATTAAGTTGATAATGAATCTCTCAAAAAACTGGAGAACTGCTGTGTTATAATCGGCAATGGCTTAGGCTCAGTAAAAAAAAAACTTGGGCACTTGAAGAATTCACAAAGACACTGTGCTATAAATTACGTAAAAAAAGTTATACTTCTTTTTGGCAGGTGGGTAAACCCACTATAACATCAAACAGGGGACTGAGACCAACATTGAGATGCCGTTCATGACTCCTATGAGAGACAATGAGAGTATTTAAAGCGCGGTAGTGATCGCGCCACGCATACGCGAGATATATTGGTCTTGTATAAACAAAGATGGCGACTTGACTGTTACGTAGATCAACAAGTACAAACTGACACGTTACCAAGCTTTAATTAGATATTTTTTCAGGTGATTGGAAGGTATCGAAGGAGTCACCAGTAATCAGTGCAAGCACACCCAGTTCAAACCTCATACTTGTGATTTCCACTAAAAGAGCGCATTGGATTGTGGGAAAATCAATGTTTATCAGCACAAATGTCGCACATGCGCCCTTTAACTATGGAGACATCAGACAATATTTCGAGCATTAGAAATATGGAAAAGAAGAGTAGCTACAAATTCCCATTTAAGAGGACAACAGG